AAAAAAAAAAAAAAAAAAAAAAAAAAAAAAGCTTTCTGTCTTTCTGTTGTGAAACTGACTCAAAGGGCTGCATGCTGCTGCTTCTTCTTTTCTAATGCTCAAAACATACTGGGCATTAATTAAGCTTGCCACCTTGCTCTATAGAGCAATTGGCATATACAATCAACTGAAAACATGGGTGGAAATATGGACCTGGCATGTTCGTTCAATGTGGCATACAATTCCTGAGATGGCTGTCAATTTTACAGGGCTGGGGATTTTTAAGGTTTCCAGTCTCACCTTTCAGCCTGTAGTGCAGTTTTTGAATGAACACCTAGTCGCATTACTAATCTCCCTGAATGTATTGCTCATCATTTCGCTCAGTATTTATTATATTTTGAGGATGTTCTCCCCAAAATTGGAGAATACTGAGTGGCAGGGAATGTGGAGAGGTCTGGGAGAGACCTTAGACAGATGGAAATCTTCAGTCTCATGGAACTTTACTCCAGAACACCTGAAAGACCCTAAGAGTCTAAACAGCTATTTAAGGCAGGAATGTTGCGGCTTGGGCAGTTCTGAGGAGGCACATATGATTTGGGGCCTGGCTAATGCTTATCGGGCCTTATTCAATACTATCCTGGAGAGAGAGAGAGAGCTTGTGAAATTGAAAGGGAGAGTCTCAGGGAAACAGTTCAAAATGAGCGAGAGAGTCTCCTGCTCCAGAGGAAAAACCTCCGATCTGAGAGAGATGCCCTCCGATCTGAGAGAGATGCCCTCCGAATTGAAAGAGACTCCCTGCAATCCAAACTCGACAATCTTCAATCTCAACAACACACCCTCCAATCTGAGCTGGATACTGTCATAATCGAACAAAACAAGCTCCAAGCTGAGCTCGAGGATGAGAGCATTGGAACTGATCAACCTGATCAACCACAGGAGGCACCACAATCGATGTCAGTTGCCCCTGTAAGAGGACGGAAAACGAAACAAATCTCGACTCAGTTAGAAGAGAAGAAAGAGGAGGAAAGAGGTCCAGAGGAGTGGCTCCGAGGTCCAAGAGAAGCACCTCTGAGTCCAGGGGAGGGGCCCTCAGTAAGACCATGGTCACCAACGCCTACGAGGGCAAGAAGTCCTGGAAGAGC